TAAAATTCTTACAATAGCGTCACCTCTCAGATTAGGCCGATATAGCTGTACTTGTTTCCAGTATGCTCACAACGCCGCCTACAAGACTATCACCTCCCGACGTGTGCTGGCGCGGCTGTACTTTCTCCCAGTATGCTCGCAATGCCACCTACAGGGCCTTCACTTCCAAGCGTAGGCCGACGCAGCTGTACTTGCTCCGTGTGGGGTCGCTGTGCCGCGTACACAGCCTCTCTTTGCAGTAATTCTTCGTGTCCTTGCTTCTGCCCTGTTTCAAATGTACCCTTAATCTAACCCTAAAACAGGCGCACACCTGGTTTTTAATAGCATCAGTTATTTGCAGGCATCTACAAACTTGGCATATACCAATTTGTACCAAAATATATAGTTATTGGCATTATAAAGAAATAAGATTTGGCATTGATTTGGCATCGTACAACTATAAGATAAGAGGATCATTGGTAGTGCTAGTATCGCCCGGCTTATCATCTGAGGAGACCGTGATGCTGTTGAGAAGAACGAATTGTTTCGCGTGCAACAGTCCTTCAAGAGAAAATCTTGTAAGTCTGCTTTTCGACGGTGGCTTCTCCCATTTTTAAAATCGAGAAATCACTTTCTACGGTCGATGTCCCAGGGAAAGTTGTGGCCAATCCACCTGCAAACCTTTTTAGCATCGGGAATTTTCCGTCGGCATTGTTCCACATGGCTTCTCCAGTATGGCTCTCGTGCATAGGGATTACCAGCAAATGCAAATAAAATATACATTCGTTGTAGTAGACTCGAATACCTACATCCAAGTACGATATCGACAAATATGTCGACATGTCCAAAGCGATTGAGAATGTCCACGAGCTTGTAATGATCTGCTATATTTTGTCCAAATTCATAATACAAACCAAGCGGGCATACTTTGAAGGGAGTTCTGTTGAGCAGGAGCCTAACGATGCTAATCCTGTGCGCTCTTTAGTTTTCGTCAACACCGAAATTGCCATTCGAAATGACATACCGAAACTGAGGTAGTCAACAATCAAATGAAATCGAACGGGATTCTTAATTGTCAGCAAGTAGTGAGAACTCGATTAACTTAGATCCAGGTTAGACCGCTTAGCTCGCGTCCAGGCTGAATCCTCATCATCATCATCGAGTAAAATCTGACCCACAATCTTGTCCACAATGTCACGGTCGATACACGTGACTACTGGTGCTTGGTTTTCATTTACGAAAGAGTGAATACTCGAACGAAAAGACTGGAGTTCGTCAAAGTAAACATTCTGAGCATCGGTAGAAAGCTTCAGGTAGTGCTCCCATCTATTTAAATGCTGACCAGTGAGGTGCGATCGGTATTGCTCCGGTCGAAATGGCAGCTTGAAGTACTTCGTGTTTGCGGTTTGTTTACGTTTCGAGCCAACTTTCTCGTCTCGCCCAAACGAAATACAGAACCGGCGAGCGACAGCAAAAACAACTTCACTTTCAGGATTGCGTTCCGAAATCTTCAGGCCAAACTCTAACAAGTGACGGTCTTGAAACGGTGTCGAACGTGATAGCTTGGAGCTTGATCCACTTTGTTGGATCGCGGTATATGGAGTGGATACACTTGTCCTCGCTTTTTTCCTGCCCATGACACAAGCTCGAGGAACTACAATCTTTTGCCACGACTGCTGTGAACTAAAATGAAGCACAACTAAGGTGAAAGAGCGGAAGAAGGAGTTTCGGAGCTCAGAACGTCCCCTTACCGGATACATCTATTTTTGGCTTTTTGTCAAAGATAGGATTTGGCGTGATTGCCAAAACTACCCACAAATACCAAATTTAGAGATGCCTGGTTATTTGGAACGGTTCCCTTGGAATATCTGAGGGACAAGGGAAGGGCATCACTC